AGGGGGTTGTGGCTTATGTTATAAAGGAGGCCAAAAAAATAAATAGATTAGAGCATCTTTGGGGGGGAGGGAAATCAGTGGGTCTGAGTCTTGGAGAAAGCTGGGGGGGGTGTTTTGTTTTTTTGTTTTGTTTTGTGTGTGTGTGAGAGTGTGTGTGTGTTTTTTTTAAGAAGAAAAAAATAAAGGGAAGAAAATCCAGCAGAGAAAAGAAGAGAGAGAGGAATTCCAGCTGTGGAGGAATAGAGGAGAAGAAGACAGATAGAGGAGGAAGAACAGAGAAATACATTTCAACCAAGGAGGAGTTTTGATTTATTTTATTTTTATTTGTTTTAAGGAAAAAAATAATCTATAAGCAGGAAAAAGAAAGAAAGAAAAAGAAAAAAAGAAAAGAAAAAGCAACTGAGAAGGGTTATAAAAAGAGCAAATACCAAGAAGGGTGAACAAGAGAAGAAAGTCAAGGCAAGGAGGAGCCCAAAGCTGGCAGATCGGGAGGATTTGCAGGGGAGAAGGGGGGGGAAGATTGGAAATGCAGCTCTGGAGTTTGCTGCTGCCTCTTGCGCTTCTCTGTACAGCCCTAGCCAGTGGACCCGAATGTGGGATGGACGAGCGCTCCCGCAGGGCAAGAAGGGACACCAGGCACAGCCGCCAGCTCCGCTACACTGCCCCGGGCACCTGTGCCACCAGGTTAGCCCGAGGAAGGCGCTCCACTGCTGGGCTGGAGCCTGGGCATGTCCCCCGCAGGAGGCAACAGCGGGAGGTAAAGGACGAAGAGGAGTCCCTTACCCCGAGCAGGGCGCTCTATTTCAGTGGACAAGGTGATCAGCTGCGGCTGAAGGCAGATATTGAGCTGCCCCGAGATGCCTTCACTTTGCAAGTGTGGCTGAAAGCTGAAGGAGGACAGAGATCTCCGGCTGTCATTGCAGGTAGGTACTTCGTCGTGCCTGTGGCTGGAGCCTCCCTGGTCTGGCCTGTGGCTGCAGCATCCCTTTTACGTTTCGGGAGCCGGCAGAACAGCCAGCTGTAGGCGTGCGTGTGTATAGTATATGTGTGTGTACATTGAAATGTGCGTGTGTGCCTTGCAACATACAGATATAGGGGAGTGCATGTGGAAACTTGCTCGGGTGCGTTTATTATATATATATTTGGTGAAATACCAGGGCTCGGCAAACTGTCTGAAAGTGTGTGCTCGCAGAAAAAGTTATGTAAACTTTTGCATAGGGAAATGGCAGTATCCTGGGTAGTTTCTTTATTTCTGTGTGTATGGATTAAGGTGCAGATAACAGAGAGCGCTCTTACGGTGGGTTTTTACCTAATTTCCAGGTTGGAAACCTGTAAATAGAGCATTTGAAAGTAGCTTGTATGTATATATGAAAAGAAATGTGCCTGTCTAGTGTGTGGCTGCAAAGAAACGCATATCTAAGGTCCCTATACGATTTCCTTAGTTTTATTAGCTCTTTAGTCTACTTCACTGTTACCTTTGTCGACGCAATATTAGCATGTGCTTTCCAAAAAGCTATAAAGGAACTTTTGGCTATTGTGAAACCTCAGATGAATCAAATGAGTTTATAAAGTTCCCAACCCCTCGACACTCAGCTAGGGCTGGGACTAGCACTGCAGCTAGAGGATGTGTTGAGTATTTTTGTCTCCCCTTAGCAATGGCAAGTGTAACACAAATGATTGTAAGGTCATATAGCCCTATAAAATCATTTAGTACTCAAAGCAGCTACCAGACTAAGCTCTCTGAGCTGAACAATAATGAGCAATATTGCACTTTTTAAATTTAAATTTTATGAGCCCATCATGAATTTGGGTCCTTTCCCCCCATGTTCGCTCCCTCTCCCCCTCCCTCCCGCCACCTCCCGCCCTCTCCCCGCTTTAGTGATAAAGTGCAGTGAAGTTGTCGTGAAATCGGATACTTTTCAGAGGGTTACAAACCCTTATAAACGTTGCCACATCCATCTTTGCTCTGAAGGAAGTCATAGAAAATGGAAATGCCCTTAAAAAAAAAAGTCAGAGAAACCGGGGGGGGGCGTGAGAGGGGGGGAGAGGAAGACATGTTTTACAGTTCTTTTGGCAAGGAGATTCCCTGAAAGTACAAAGTTTCCATGTCCTAGGATGCCTTAAAGAGACAGGGAGGATTTCCCCTTTCCCCTTAGCTGGAGTCACTTCCCACCAGAAGGCAGTGGATGCTGGTGCCGGTGGTACTGTCGTTGCTCCGCACCAGCCCGGCCGCCTCTGCCCTTCCGCCTCCTCCTGCGATTTTCTCCATCTCCGCTGCCCCATCCCTGACCTGCGCGACTGTCGTCTCGCAAGAAAGTTGGTTTGTCCTAAGGAAAACAAAACCGAAGATGAACTCAGCAGTGCATTGCCTTAACTTTCCCTAATCCCAGCTGCTCTGCTCACTTGTGAGGGGGACGCGAGGGGTGTGCGGCTGCTGGGGTGGGCAGGAGGTGCCGGGCATGGGCTGGTCCCTTCTGCCTTTAGTAGGACAGGCAGATGAGTAATTTCCTAGGTGAAATAGATTATTGCTTGCTTTATTTCCCCTGGCTTTCTCATACTCCACTCTTCTGGTTCCCAATCTTAACCTAAACCCCAGAGCTCAGAGTGCTTCCTTTTCAAGTTAGGGAAGGCAGAATTTGGGTTTACATGGATCTCATCAGTGGCAAAACACGGTCAGTGTGTTTTTTAATGTGTTTAATCCGACACCTAAGACCCTGTCTCTGTCTTTGGTGCAAGTATCTCCAATTCACACAACAGGGAACCTAAACAAACACACACAAAGATCATGTGTAGTAAAATACTTTAATTGGATGGGGGAGGTTGGGTTGTTGCCTGTATAAAACACTTGACCCATTTTATGCATGGAAATAACATTCCACTAAGAAAAATGAAGAGAAATGCCCCAGTTTAGCACCGTAGAGCTTGCAGCCTAGCTCGGGAGGACTTTGTGATTTTTATTTTATTTTTAAGCTCCCCCTCCCCCCCACACGCACTCTTGAAGAGGAGCCAGGTTTGGCTCTGTGTGTAAACACCTGGAAGAGGTCCAAGAGGAACTCACTTGGAGTATCCTCCGCACACCACAGCCTCCCAGACCTGCAGCAAGCTTAGGGAGAGATTACACTTCCCTCAATGAGGAAATCAAGGGTTCTGGCTGCCAAAACTCTTGGATTCTCATTTTCACTGTTTTGGGATGTGACAGACTCAGGAGCCCTGTTCTGCCATTGGAGTTGCCTCTGAAGGACCCCACTGAAGTCAGGAGCCATTCTGGGTGTTTGGGAGGGGTCAGGGAGCGGGGCAGATTTGCTGACGGTGCCAGAAGTGAGTTTCTCCCCAACTTCCATCCCAGTCGCAAAGTGGGAAACTGTGTGATTGTGCAGATCTGAGGGAGAGGGCAGGATTGACTGGAAGACACCTCTTTTTCGCAGTCCTCCTTGTATCTTCAGGGTTTTTCTGCCCCCCACCTTCTGCCTGTGCTGACTGCTTCCCTTCCATCCCTCCTTGCTGGCATATAGTCAGTGCAAATCGTATAGGAGCCACATGTGTGTCTATAGGGGAGGCCTGTTGTGTCTGTTAACAATCTCATGTAGGACCCAAGTTGTTATCAGCTTCTATGCCTGAGCTCTGATATAACGGAGCTCTTCTGCTAATCCAGGCTACAGGAGTTTCTGTTTCTGTCTGGAGCCAACTCTCCTTACGTCACCCTCTGCTGCAGTATTCAATTTGTTTTCATAAATGGCTAATTTTACAGCGCTGTTAAGTGGGTTCGTCATTGTGCCGGGCCATGCCCTGTCTCTGATGATAGGCAGTCCTTGGTGCCAGGCTCTGCCAATTTTCACGCTGGTTGGCAGTGATGTTATTGCTGCCCTGTTTGACTTCACTGATATCTGTTCTGGCATTTGTCAGGGAAAGCTGTTGGGAAACTAGAAGTCTGACCCATTGATCTGTGTTACGCAAAAGCACAGAAGCGTTTTCGGAGCCGGGCTGTGCTTCGTTTCTGCGGCTCCTGTGGTGTGGCTCTCCAGCAGAGACAGCTCTGAGCTCGTGCGTACTTGCCTCCCTCCCTGGGCCACATAGTTTTTGGACAAATACTCCTGGGATTTGGGTACCTACCACACGGCACAGTACATCCCTCTTACACACATGTGCGCATGGTATTAATCATGCAAGTTTGTGCACTTTCCCCTGTAGAGTCTTTGAATGCATCTGTAGTTGTGAACGAAGGAGTTAAGGTCCAGACTGTAGTCAAGTTAGGTAATACACATGCCATGCAAAATAAGACGCTTCAAAGCACTGTTGACCTTGCTTCCGTTGTAATCAAAGATATTTCAGTTCTACTGTGGAAATGCAACTCCATCCGAAGAAACAGGATCCTCCTGAGTCCCTGTCAGTGTGTTTTCTGGTATATGGCTCAGGAGTGGGATAGCTCATGTTTTTGTAGGAATGAGATGTTGACTCTTTACTGGCTGTGAGCTGAGAGGAGCGGGATGAATGATCGGCAGCGGGAGCTGGAGTAAGAAGGCGTGCCTGCTCTGAAGAGTGAAAGTTATTTGTGTTTTGGTTTGGGTTTTTTTTTTTTCCCCCTCCCTGGTTTCATTCTCCTCTGTCTCTCTATTCCTCTGCCTGCCAACAGAGAGCATGATCCCAACTTAATAAAGCTTCATATGTAAGGGAGTGCCTATGTTTTCCCAACTTCAGTCCTTGGTGAACATCAAACTGCAGCAGAATCCAAAGGGAAAGACGTGCCAAAATCAGCACAGCGGAGCTCACTTAAAGCCACAGCTCTTGCATGTGAGAGACTGAGAAACATCTGTGTCGGGGTCCAATAATTGGGCAATTACAAAGATATGTAATTGACACTGCATAGGTCTGTTCCCTCCACGGGGTTTAAGAATATATGTTTACTTTTGAGGGTTAATTTGGTTCCCTTCTGAAGTTCTGGAGTCTGATACTAAATTAATACACTTCAGATAGAATCGGTGAGCTGGGTCCTGTCCCCAGAGCTGATTCTGGTAGCAGGTGTGTTGGGAACTTAAGGACATCTTCCATAGAGAGTTTACTCTGAGTTTCACAGGCATTAAAATAATCGGTAGATAGATAATGCAGCATTTTCTCATCTTCACCAGCCTGTTGTCTTTTAATTGCATGAATTTTCTTGTTTTGATCTGTAGTGAAGTATTAGAATGAAGGACTATAGAATAAGTCAAACGTAAAGCTTGTAGTTCTGTTGTTTAATTAGCTCTGGCATGTGCCAGGTCCCAGGGTGATGGGAATGATGGGCAGAGTGGAGTAATGGCTGGACCAAAGTGACAGGAGCTTGAACACCTGCCCAGATGTTCCTTCAGAGTGACAAGTCTCCAACACACCATTGCTGAAGGCTACAGGTAGCTGTGTGGTTTTGGTGTCCCTGTAGATGAGTTCAGATGATTAGCCACTTCATAATTATGGATCTGGATAAGGCCTGACTAATAGGCCACTGAAAAAATATGGCATAGCTTGTCATTTACTAAATATTCATGTTTGAACAGCACATTTCCTTCAGCCTGCAGAAGCTGGGACAGGAGTCAGAAACTGGAAAACAAAAAGAATTTTTCTTTCCATAAGATTTCCCCTTTTAACTGGTCTCATTCTTTTGACAAGCTACACACTGGAGTCAGAACAGCACAGTTAGAAGAAAGTTGGGGTTGGTTTGGTTTTTTCCTTAAAGCACTTACATGTAGGCTGCTATAATTAATAAAACGGTAATAAAACAAAGAGGGAAATTTGACTCTGTGTGTGTGAAGGATGGCAAATTTAGATTCCTAAATGATGTATGGCAGTCTCCTGTAGGCATGGAGATGTGTCCCAGGCTGAGCTCTCCTCTCCAAGCTTCATTTCAGCCTGATTTATTTCAAGCGAGCCTGTTTCAGTTAGAAGAACTCGTGTG